AAAAAAGGCTGGAGATTAACTAAGCACTCCCTGGCTTCATTTTTCAGCATCACAAGAGAAAATAAAATCCAGCTAAAGCCTCATACAAGTCCAGTGTTACAGGACTGAAATATTTTTCCAAAGTTCTTACAATGGAACATCACCCAGCTGCTAAAAGCACAGTCAAACTACATATACTTTTTAAAAAACTGTGCTGGAAATTAAACTCAGAGTCTTGTGCATGCTGGCCTTATATTCTGCCAGTAAACTACACCTGTAATGGAAACCACTAAGAAGTGGCTCTGAGCGGGATTTAAAATTAATCACTTGGCTTTCTATGTTTACTTGTGAGTCTGTCTCAGGCCTAGGGCCCTTGTCTGAAGATGGGCAGTGGATTCATACTAAGTGAACCTCTCTATGAGTCACTGGTCCTGGCTAAGTCCTGTAAGTGGCTGGCCTATGAGGCTGTGACACCTCAAAGGACAAGATAAGGCCACAGCTGATGTCACCTGGCTCCAATCCCAATTAACTAGATAGAGACTATAGCTGCAGGTGTCTCACTCCTTCAGTGAATGTCAACCTATAGATAAGACAGTTCTAGTTAGCGTAATTTACTACTTGGGGGAGTCTTTGTGTTGACTTCCAAGGTCCTGCTCAGTTTCCCTTGCTTTCCTCAGGATTCCCTTCCTTTGTTTGAAAACCAAATAAATACTGGTTGTAAAGAGAAGTTCTTTGTCTCAGCCCTCAGAGAATCTCAAATTCTGCTAGAGGATTTTAATCCTCCTGGAGCCCTAAAATCATACCATTTATCTCTTTTATTTAAACCTTTGCCATCCACTCACTTGTGAGGCTGTGGGCCTGATCAGTCTATGATACATTTGCTGCTCAAAACTTATGAAGTGGAAAAAAAAAAAAAAAAAGAAAGGCAAGGTAAAGTACAAAAAGCATCAAAAATTATTTTGGCTGGGCATGGTGGTACACACCTTTAATCCCAGCACTCTGCAGGATGAGGCAAGAGGATCTCTATGTGTTAAGGCCTGCCCGGCTTACATAGTGAGTTGAAGGCCAACCTTAAGTACAAAGAGACCCTGTCTCAAAAAAAGAAAAAATTGTGGCACACAGTGAGGCAAGTACCCTAGGTGTGATCCCCAGCACTGCCAAACACAAAAATCAACTATATGCATAGTAATCCCTTTAGGTGAAAGAAACAGTAGAAGATACTTATTTCTATTTTGTACTCTTCTATAGTGTCTGAATTGTCTCACCACAAAAAAATTGAATACTTTGGTTTTTTAAATGTCAAGTACAGTAATCTGAACAGAGATTATGGGCCATTTTTGTTTTTCTGTCAGTCATTTTCTATATTTAAATGAAAACTACCTTAAAAATCAGAACAGCTTTTTAGAATATCACTGCCTCAAAGGAGCTCAGTCTAGCAGGAGTGATAATTAAAGAGGCAGCCCAGCAGGGTCAAGAGCACAGCACCTAAGGGCCAGAGAACCTGCATTCAAACCCCAGCTCTGCCACTCGACGGGTAATCATGGGGAAATTGTTACAATTCTCTAAGCTGCACTTCAGTTTTCACAATAAATGAGCAATAACAAGCTGAGCGCGGTGGTGCAGGCTTGTAATCCCAGCCCTCTGAGAGGCCGAGGCAAGGGGGTCACAAGTTTGAGCCCAGCTTGGGCAACTTAGAAGAAGCTGTCTCAAAATAAAAAACAAATAAGGATGGGATGTAGCTCAGTGTGAAGGCCCTGGGCTCAACCCCCAGTACAAGAGCACCCTGCTCACAGAGTTACTGTGGGGCACCAGATGAGTGACCACAGGCAGAGCATTATGAGAAGGCAACACACGGGCAAGCAGCACAGGCCTTGCTTGTCTCTGTCGGCGACGCTGGGCTCTGAAGGGAAAGTCCGCCTGCCTCCAGGAAGGAAAAGACCCCTAGTCAGTGCCCAGCACACAGGCTGTGCCGAAAATGGCAGGTAAGCAGGCACAGGGAAAGAGTGCAGGTGGCTCAGTCAGCGTGGAGCTGAGAGGAAAGCCAGGTCTATGAGGCCCTCTGGAGACTACTCTCAGCCCAGCTCAGCAGCTTACACCCAGGCCTTCCCAGAAGGTACTGGAAGCCTCGGGCACAGTCAGATGAGGGCTGACCCTGGCCAAGGTGGCCAGATGGGGTGGATTCGAGAGACGGCAGAGAGGGAAGTTTCCAGATATAAATGACTGCACTTAAGGAAAGGACAGGGGAGGAGAAGATAGAGGAACAGGAGACCAGAGAGGTAGAGAGGTGCCAAGAATAGCATGCTGTCAGAAATCCGGTTGGACAGCCATGCAGATGCTACTTCTTATTGCAGAGGAATACAGAGGTGCACGTTTAGTGAGAAGAAAGGAGAATTTAGTGTGGAAAATGTTGAATTTGATGGGTTTATGGGACACTAGTAAGGAAGTAGTAAATACTAGATCTACTACTTAGGAGACTTGATAGAGATATTTAACATGCTTTAATAGTGGAGCTTCTTATTCTTCAGCAATGGTTTACTTTTAGACTAAACCATGTTTAATAATAACAAAGACTACCAATGTACTAAGAATGACATTGGCCATAAACCTCCCTAAGGCGCAGGTAGAAGTGACATGTACACTTCTTTCCTACTTGGGTAACCGTATCTTAGCAGTTCATTCATGGTCAAATTCATTCAAGATTTTTTTCTCTACAGTTCTTTCCTTAAGAAAAACCTCTGAAAATATCTTATGCATTCTAAGATGCTTTTTAATCTGACTTACTATTTGCTTGTGTATGCATAAAAACACTCTAGAAGGATGTAGCAGAAGTTTTTAAAAGCCAGTGCTCACCCAGTGCGGGTGGAGGCTGAGCAAAAGGGAGTCAGACATTCACATCTCACAGTACATTTAAAAAAAAAATTTTTTTTTTTTGCAGTACTGGGTATTGAACTCAGCCTCACACAAGCTAAGCAAGTGCTCTACCACTGAGTTACCTCCCCAGCCCTTTTTAAAATTTTAAGACAAGGTCTTGCTAAGTTGCCCAGGCTGCCTCTGTGACCCTCTGGCCTCAGCTTACTAAACACCTGGGATTACACTATTTTCAATCATTGGTATCTATTATGCTTAAAAACAGGGCCCAGAGGTGAGAGGTGGGGTGGCTGCTCCTCAGGTGCTTGGGAGAGCAGAATCCCAAGCTCTGCGGGGCAGGCCTGAATCCTGGCCCCTGTCACTGACAAGTTTGGGTATGTCACTTGTCTCTCTGAACCCCAATGCAAAATGGGCATAAGACATCCTCTCTCTATCCTCAAAGTTCTTTGCCAACTATTAAGTAAGATTCAGCATAAAAAAGCACGCACCCTGATCCCTGACAGATGGTCAGGGTCAATGTCCCTGTACATTTCTGATGCACCAGAAATAAGCCCTTGACCTCCCTTATGAAGGCACTGATGGGACAATTCCTCCCCACTCACATTTCCCATATTGGCATCTCTCCAAGCTAAACCACCCTTAACTCTTCTCCCTCCCTCCCCCAACAGCCCTCTCCACTACTCCTTTGTTAGTCCAACAACACGAGTGTCCTGCTGAGAAAGGTGGACAGTCAGCCCCAGAGCAAGAGCAGGGCCCTGTGAGGAGCCACACGGCTGGGATGTCTCTAGGGCAGAGCTGATGGGACTCACTGATGGACAGCACTTGAGGGGAAGAGGGAAGAAAGGGGTTCAAGGAGGACGCCAGGCTCCAGATCCCAGCATGCAGGTGCATTAAGTTACTGAATGTTGCAAGATGGGGGAAGACACAGGAAGGGTGAGAAATTAAAGCTCTAGCTTGGCTACGCTGGGCGTTCACAATCAGAGCTGGGGTTTAGAGGTTACCACTAACAGTAACTTCATGGGGAAGTTAAATTTCTGATTAAGCGGAACTGCACATGTTTTCTATATGCTCCCCAATTTCTTGGAGCCAGGACACTTGCCTCATTCATCACGCACTGGGGGGAGAGGGGTCATATGTTAAATGAGGGAACCCTGGGACTTCTGTGTCCTCTGTGTCCACCGTGAGCTGACGCCTGCATTAGTAACTGCAATGAACTGCAAACTGGCCAGCTGCCTTCCTCACACACAACTAACTGTTCCTACAACTTACCTGAATTCAGCTTAGTTTTCTAGGGGAATTCCAACTCTGAGAGACTCATTTCATAACATGATTTCCCAGGCCCACAAACCAGTAGCAGGGACTGCTCGAATTCTCTAACTTGCTTGAAGTATTTTAAAAAGTCATACCCTGTCGATGGCACTTCCCTTCTTCTGAGCGTAAGAGCCCCAGAGCAAGAAAACGAGGCCGTTCAAGTTCTGATTGAGCCAGGACACGACGGCGTCAGTGAACTGCTCCCAGCCTCTCTCCTTATGTGAGTTGGCCTGATGAGCCCGGACAGTGAGGACAGCATTGAGCAGGAGGACACCTACGAACACAGGCCACAGAAACAGGTAAAGAGAAGGCTCAGAGGCAGCAGCGCAAGCTCCTGACAGCAGGGGTTAGACACAGACATACTGTGAAATCATTGCTCTATTCCGTAGGACCCAGTGCAGCTGAGTAAGTCAGGTCATAAAGAAACCATTACACCATGATTAGTGGCCACCTCTGGGTGAGATGAGAGGGCATTTTATTTTCTTTCTTTTATTTATTTATTTTTTTTTGCGACAGGGTCTTCATATGCAGCTCAGGCTGGTCTTGAGCTCACTCTGTAGGCCAGACTGGTCTCAAAGTTGCAACCACGATTCTCCTGCCTCAGCCTCCCAAGTGTGTGCGCCACCACACCTGGCTCAAGGGTATTTTATTTTCACCTTTGCCTTCCTGGCATCTTCTAGTTTAAGGCAATAAACACCAGTTATATGTCATCAGAATTTTTTTTAAAAAAACATTCTATGTGATAGTAACCCCAGAGAATAACAATATTTACAATAGAAACAAATGTTTCTCATAATTAAAATATTAAAAAACTTACCACAGGATAAAACATATTTAGCCTTTTAAATATATAACAAATAAACCCAGTGTGGTGGCACATTTCTCTAATCCCGGCACTTAGGATGTTGAGGTAGGAGGGTTGCTGCAAGTTTGAGGCCAGCCTGGGCTCTATAGTTGGTTCAACACCAACCTAAACTACAAAGCCAGACCCTGTCTCAAAAAGAAGAACACAAACATATACACACACACACACACACATGCGCGCGCGCGCACACACACACACATATATATATGTAACAGAGCAAAAGACTGTCGGCCTCAGTCCAAGATATACATAGTTGGTCTGGACTTACCTTGTTTAGCCCACCCAGATAAATCTCCATGGCCAGGATGAACAAAGCCATCTATGTCTGTCGACAGCTCTTTATAGATGTTTTCCAAACTGCAAGCAAGCCAGAAAAAAAAAAAAAAACACAGAATCTTAAGCATAACTTTAAAAGTTCCGTAATCTCCAAAGCCGTATATGAAAAGGTTAAGAAGTTTAACATCAGCCCAGGAAGGAACAATGGAGCCTATGACCCTAATTCATAAGATAAACACCTATAGTGCTGATAGCTAAATATGCCAAAGATCTTTCCTTTCATCTGTACTGGGATTTAAGGAACAGAAGCACTCTGAAGGCATAAAGAAATTGGTCCATCCAAGTGTGGTGGCGCAGGCCTGTAATCCCAGCACTGGGAAGGGGGAGCCAGGAAGACTGAAGGCCAGCCTGGGCTACAAAATGAGTTCAAGGACAGCCTGAAGTACAAGACTCTGTCTCAAGAAAAGGAAAAAAAAGAAAAAGAAGAAGAAATTGGTCCAGCAGTTACAACCCACCACCCCACTGATGCTTATGGCCTGTATCTTTATTATATTTGTATATAGGATTGTGTATGTGGTACTAGGGATTGAGTCAGGGCCTTTGCAATGAGCCCAGGGACCCCACCCAGCCCACCCCTTTTTCTCTTTTTAAATGTTTTTTTTTGTCTTTTTGAGACAGGGTCTCATTATGCAGTTCAGGCTGGCCTTGAGCTCACTTTGTAGCCCAGGCTGGTCTTGAACTAGCAATGATCCTCCTGCCTCACTCAGCCTCCTGAGAGCTGGGATTAGAGGCGTGCGCCGCCACGTCTGGGTTTTCTTTCTTGAAATTTGAGACAAGGTCTCTTTCAATTACCTGGGCTGCATCAACTGGTGAATGGATAAAGATTTGGTTTTTGTTCTACAATGGAGTACTACTTCTGCCATAAAGAATATACTTGAGCCATTTCTAAGTAAACAGATGCACCTTGAGACCATACTCTTTAGTGAAATAAATCGGACAAACGTGTAAATACCACATTGTTTCTCCAGTGTAAAAAACCGAAAGTATAAATAAGGACCAAAACATGTAACAGGTACTGTGAAATAGGAAGAAAATGTTCAAATGGGGAAGGGAACAGGGGAGGGGGAGGGGGAAAAGGGGAAGGGAAAGAAGGAAAAAGCAAAAAAAAAGAATGAAACAAAGCTTTTGAAATGGGGAGGGGAGAGAGCAAGGAAAGGGAAAGGAAAGGAAAAAAATCATTAAGTTACATCATGTACAGGAACAAATTCTCTATGATGAATGTGATCATTATGTGTATTTAAAATATACCAATAGAATCTGATTAAAATAATAATAAAATTTTTTAAATTTAAAAAAAAAAAAAATTACCTAGGCTGAACTCAAAATTACAATGCTCAGCTTCCCAAAATGCCAGGATTATAGGCGTGTGCTACCTCACCCAACTACTTTGTATGCATTTCATATAAAATTCTCCAAGGCAGTGGTTCTTAACTAGGGAATGTGCTGCCTCGCACAGAACTTCCCACAGTACACAGGCACTGTGATTTCCCACCGTGAAGAAGGATGCAGCCCAATCGCCAACAGTACCAACCAACGTTGAGAAACAATCCTGCTGCAAAGGCTACTCGAGGTCCCCCAAACAGTGGACCTGCAATTGGCAAAGTGCACATCTGAGAGCAACTGATGCTGGACCACAGCCACGGATGTGTGCAGCAACTGTACCTGGGCGGGGGTGGAACAGGTCTTTGCACGCTAAAGCAGAGCCCGTGAGCTTGACTGGGTCCGTGATAAGGATCCTGTCCCAGGATGACAACTTTCACCTGTGAAAGGGGGAAAGCATTAGGTGGCAAAGACTTATTACGTAACACTGCGGCACTCAGTCCCAACAGACACCTGGCTGATTATACAGAGGGGGGCGCAACTGTGAGGAGGCGAGCCCTGCTTGGTACTGTCACTTCCCATTCCCATCATCCTTCACTGCCACCCTGACGTGCTCGCCCGTCCTTTCACAAGTGAGATGCGATTGGGGTCAACTTCGCATTTACCCTCTTAACTTTTCAAATGACAAAAGTAAACAAACCCTATCGCAAGCACAACACCCAGAAACACAGAGTGATTCACCATTGCTGAGTTAGTCTTTTTTCACTTTGTGTGTGTATACTACTGGTGACTGAACCAGGGCTCCCAGAATGCTAGACAAGCATTCTAGGCAAGCTCCACGGAGGTGCACCGCCAGCCCCAGAGTTAACCAGTTTTAATTATCCATACAACCGGGGTTACTGCACTCATTTTATGTGTCTTCTGCTCAACACTGCAGGCTTCCTTCAAGTCAACAGAACACTCAGTCCTACTCATGGGCAGCCCATTTATTTCCCAGCACTGCCCATTATGAAAAAACCCTGCAGTAACCTCCTAGGACAGATGCGCTTACACACTGGTGCTTCCTGTCTATGGACGATTCATGACAGGGAGGCCTGTCAAGGGACAAGTGTATTTAAACCTTCACATAATTCAGATTCCTCGCTAGCAGCAGAAGAGGGACCTGTTCCCCTAGAGGTGGAACAGATGAAACCAGGACAAAGATCAGTCCAAGGGCTGTAGGAGTGGATGGCAAGAGGCAGTGAAGAGCAATGCGGTCCCCATCTCCCATGTGCTGAAATGCAAGCCCCTGGATATGCTGTCTGCCTTGACCTTGCCCTCCTGCTTCTACCCTGCTGCTCTTTCTCAGAATCTTCCTCTTCAGCTGACACCCTCTGCATCCCTCCAATCCAGCTGCGGAACAGCACTGCCATAACCAGTAAGTTCTCAGTTCTGACCTTGCTGCTCATTGGGCCACCAGCATATCCTCCAGGATGAAGCAGCCCACCCAGCCTGGCAGGGAAGCTTGCGAGCTCCAGGGCTCCAGACCTGGCTAAGAGATGATCTTGGGTGAACTATCTAGCCTCCTTGATCCTGAATGCTCATTTGCAAAGCAGCCCACTGGCTCAGAGGCACAGATTTGATACTCTTGAGTCTTCCCTGTTTATATATCAGAATGTTACATATAACACTCACAACAGGGCACAATATTCAAACAAGGAGTAAACTAGTACTGAATGTAATAACACAGTTTAAACTTTAAAAACAAGGAGTTATCTATATTGAAAATTCTTATGCAACAAGAAAGATTGGGAAAATTACTAAGTATTAAGCATGGCTGTCTTACCAAAATGTTTTATTCGCCTACTGTACTTCTTTGATTGAACAAGGTATTCACTAAACCCTAACTTCCTGTCCCAGCTTACAAAATTGGGAAGGAAAAAGAATAAAACCCCAACCCGCCTCGTGTCAGCACATGCTGAAGGTACCGCAGAAGCTCAGAGGAAAATCCAATCACAAGGGAGTCAGCAATGGGTTTCAAGGAGGCGCCACAGGTGGATCTGTTGTTTTTCTAAAGATAGAAATACTACATGGTGTTCCACTGTCAGACGCCAGAGTAGGGGGGACAGAGGCAAAGCTGCGCAGTAGGATGCGTCCTGCTTGAGGGTCTAGCACGCTCAGTCTTCACAGTCCTTACAGCTGAAATCAGTTCCTTGCAAGCTTCCGAAGAGGAAACTGAAGTGACCAGGGATGCCAAGCAGCAACTACACACAGGATGAAGTAACAAAGCCAGCAGGGTAAAGGTCATGAGTGCCAGCTACACCAGCCAGTGTGGACAAGTCGTGGTGGAGGTCAACGGAAAGTAACACACAAAGATATAACTGTTTCATGACAGCTTCTTCACCACCACTGCCATAATACCTAAAATTGGCATGGGTTTTCAGTATTAAATAAAATACAAAGGAGAGCATACATAAAAAGTTGATTTCGAAAAAGTAGAGAATAGTGGTTAGCAGAGTCTGGGAAGAAGAGGGCAGAAGAGAGGTGATATAGCACAGACCAGTGGTGGTGAACTAATGGCACGTGTGTTTTATTTTTTTAAAGACAAAAGATATTAACGTAGAGTTGTTTTCTCTACACTAAAACCTCATTACTCAGGTTTAAAGGTAGAGTTGGCACTTTGTGATAAATAAGTGGGTTTTGGGTTGCAGTTTGGCACTCCATCTCGAAAAGGTTCGCCATCACTGGTATAGACCAATAAGTCTATCAATTAATTGAACATTGCCAAATATCTAGTAGAGAGAATTTTAAATGTACTCAGCACAAACAAAAATGTCTGAAGTGGTAAATATACCAGTTACCTTGATCTTATCATTTCACCGTATATATGTACTGAAATCCCAGCGTATAGGCTTGGTGGCATAAACTTATAAGCCCAACATTCTGAGAGGCTGAGGTAGGATTCCAAGTATGAGCCCAGTAGGGGGAACTGAGTGACTGAGAGAGACCCTGCTTCAAAATAAAAGTTAAACAAGTGCTGAGGATGAATATGAAGGCTCCAGCACAGCCATAAATAAAATAAAAAATACTGCCAGGCATGGTGGCATATATCTATAATGCCAGCTACTCTGGAGGCCAACATAGGAGGATCACAAGTTAGATGCCAGCCCGGCCAACTTAGCTAGATACCTTGTCTCAAAATTAAAATAATTGGGCTGGGGATATAGCTCAGTGGCATAAGCACCTGCCTGGCAAGCACAAGGTTGTGAGTTTGATCCCTGGTACCACACACACACACACACACACACAAAAATTAAAATAATTAAATAAGTAGTCAGAAAAAAAGGTTGCAAATGTAGCTCAGGCTTCCCAGAGTTCAAACCCCAGCACTGTAAAATCAAAACATTTCTAAATGTCACAACAATATACAGACTGTCCCTGTGTGGTGTGGCCATCTTAGCTTTAAGGAAAAGGTAGTCTCACTAACAAAAACGTACACTGAAAGGTTCCTCCTCCAAAAGAGCCCTCCAGTCTCTCACTTCCTCTCTCACTTGGTGAGAGACTGTGGCTTTCCCATACTCCGCCACAGCAAAGACTGCACCCAGGTAAGATTCAAGAAGCCCTTAGAGATTCATTATGAAATGCATGAAAGGGGGTTGGGGATTTAGCTCAGCGGCAAAGCGCCTGCCTGGCAAGCGCAAGGTCGTGAGTTCGGCTCCCGGTACCGGAAAAAACCAAAAAAAAAAAAAAAAAAAGAAATGCATGAAAGAGACTCAATTCACAATTTTTTAGAGGCTGAGTCTCCCGCCAATGTATTCTCCTCTGTTCTCTTATTTCTTCTACCAGTTAATTTAGCATTGTGAGTTCTGATAAGTTTGCTGGCGCTACTACATGGCATGACTTTGGGAAAACAGACTTCAATGATGCACAATACTCTTACTTAAAGTTGACTGATAATTCAGCCAAATAGCCTAGCTACTTTCTGGGGGCCAAGCAGGGAGTGCTGGGGATGGAACACAGGGCCTCCTGCAGGCTAGGCAAGTGCTCTGCTACTGAGCCACACCCTCAGCCCATCCTTGCTACTTAAGATGTAACTTTTTTGTTCTTTTTGCCTCTTTTGTCCACTACATTTTCTTGGCATTTCTGAATACACAGCTCTTCAGTTCCATTATCCATAATTAACAAGATTTTAAAAAACTAATCCATGATCACTGGAACAGGCTTGCAACAATATACAAAACAGTAAAGGGAGACTGATGGTGTCCCTCAGTGGTAGAATGCTTTGTCCTGAACATTTAGGGCCCCAAGTTACAATCTAGCACCATAAAGGAAAAAGGAAAAGAAAAAGGCAATGAATTTTTCTAGACAATGAGAGCATACAGACACAAGGCCTATGTACATACTTATCTTTTCTGCTGCAAAACCAGCACACAGCAAACGTTAAAAAGAGTAAATATAGGCTGAAACCTCACAATTTCAGTATACTACTGAATTACGACCTGCAGCTTAACTCCAGTGCCCCTATTTCCTTTCCTCCCATAATAAAATTCAACAACTGTACTTACATCTCGTATGTCACACATTTGGGTCCAGGTGAAGACTTGGTGTGGGGGTGGATAAACAGTGTAATGTTTTCTTTCTTCTGCAACAAATCCCATTAGCTAATTTAAAAGATAAACTAGATTCAAAATCAGATTCTCACTGGAAACTGTAAGCATTTAGTTAGAAACCTTCTCACTCCAGCGGTTTGAACCTCCTCTAGCTCCTTGCCATGTTTTAAATCCAAATTCCCAAAAGAAAAATAAAAAACAAAAACACCATCTCCTCCCCGTTTAACAAGCTCAATGGCATCAATTCCTGATCAGTTTCTCTGGGCTGGAAGGAAGCTGGTTTTTGCTTCGCTTTACTTTCCAGTGGTGCAAGCTCTCTCCCCTTACAAAAGGCCAGCGCGGTTTCCTTCAGTCTGGCTGGTGGTTTTACAAGGCCAATCGTTCTTGGAGAGCAAACTACGTGGCTTAAAATAAGCCATAATATCGCCTTACAGTCTTAAACAACTTTAACCGTTATAAACGTGCGGATTCAAACCCCCATGACCCGCTTGACCCGCTTGAAAAGGGCACATGGAGGAAAATACGAATCTGCTGAAAACAAAACCTCGCGTCGATTTCGCCTGCTACACTACACCGACCACGGACGCTTTAACCGAGGAGCCTGCGCGTTTCCCCCGTGAAAGGTGACTCTCCCACCTACCTTTATGAAGTACGGCTTCCCGAACTCTCCGCTCAGGTGCTTCTTCCAGCTGTCCCCGAAGCCCACGGGCACGTTCCGGGCTGCGAGTCTGAGCAGCGCCGCGGCCTTGTTTCTCTGGATGCGGTCCAGTTGCTCAGCGCTCAGCGGCGAGGAGGGCGGCGTGCCGGGCTCGTCCTGCCCGGCCCGGGCCTTCTTGGCGGGGCTGGCCTGCAAGGGGTCCCCGCAAGCGCGGCTTAACAACCGCAGCGACTCTCTTCCAGCGGCCCGCAGCTTCCTAGCCAAACCCCGCGGCCCATAGCAAAAGATGCCCATAGGTGGAGCAGACGCCGAGCCGGCTGGGCTCAGGGCGAGTATCTGCAGTTTGGGAGTCACAGCCCCACGGCATCCGCAGGAGGACTCGCGGGACTGGGGACCCAGCCCCCAAACGCCCCGCCCTGCAGAACCCGCCAATTGAGTCCCCACGCGGCCTTTTCGCGGCAAAAACCCTCAGCAGGAATCCCGTCCCCTCCCTCTTCTGATTGGACGGAAGGCTGAGCAGGGCGGGTCAGCTGCACGCCAATTGGCGCCGCGATCCCAGGGGCTCGTCCCCATTGGCTAGCGCGTCAGCATGGCGACCGGTGAGAGACACGGACGGGCTGCTCGGTACACGTGGAAACTGTTTTGAACACGGGGCTCCCAGTTTACCGCGTCGGTGGCGCGCTCTTACACCCCCGAACCAAACAGGCTCCCTGCCTTCCTCTCTCTCTCATCCCCAGCCCCCAAAGCGGTCCCCGCGGCGCCTCACCGTCACATCGCCGTTCTCTTCAGCTACGGCCGCCACGCCGGCCCTTGGGTCGGCCGGCTCGGGACTGCAGGCACGTCGTTTTCTGGCGGGGCTCGGGGAGAAGAAGGAGTAGAGAGTTTTCTGGCCGATCATCCCGGAGCCGAGCAGAGAGCGAACGCGCGCCGCCCAGGGACTTGGAATTGGCGCCAAGCGCTCCGCGCATGCTCCGAGTGGGGAGGGTCGTGGCGGAGGGCGGTGGAGGGCCCAGTGCGCAAGCGCAGGAGGGGCGGTCCGCACGGCCCCTAGGGCAAGGTTGGGCGAGTTTGGGCGTGAGCAATGCTGGAGGGCCTACTTTTTCATTCATTGAGTCTGTGCATCCCCCTCCTACTCTGCTTTAAAAGGCCCCTGTCAGCCCTCCTCTCAGCTGTAAAAAAAAAAAAAAAAGGGCCTGCCCCATTAGGGGTGCTGCGGGGAAATAAGGAGCCTTATAGTGTTCACTGAGCTTTTATTCACATGAGCGCATCCACTTTTCACAACCTGTTTTACTGAGGGCAAACAGGTTCAGAGCAAGCATTTTGCCAAATTTATAAATCTTGGGGGAGACTCTAAGATCATGGAGGTTAATTAGAAACTATTCATTCCCGGCCGGCATGGTGCCGCACGCCTGAAGTCCCCGCACTCTGGAGGCTGAGGCAGGAGGATCGCTGTGAGTTTGAGACCAGCCTGGGCTACAAAGTGAGCTCAAGGCCGACCTGAACTGCATAGCGAGACCCTGTCTCAAAAAGACAAAACAAAAACAAAAATTAAAAAAAATCTATTCATTCCCGGATGGCATAGAATTCGTTTCTTCCCTTCCCCCGTACCCTCCCCAAGTATTACTGATATTCAAATCAGCAATATCTCCTTTTCGTCCTTTCTCCGAAACAAATCCCAAATTCAGTGAGTTTTCCGTCTTCTCGCTACAAGCGCAGTTGGTCTTCTTGTTACCGGCCACTTAGGTTCATTTGCTCGCCACTGATCAAATCAAAGCAGGCCATATATTTTGGCAAAAGGGAAAAAAGAATTTATTCAACGAAAGCTCCAAAAGAGATGGAGAGGCCTGTTTGCCTCAAAGCACCACCTCCCCCTGTGCAGGTGGACAAGGGCCTCTTATAGTAAGGGACAGCAGAGGGGGGACAAACAGATAATGCAGATCACATTTGTTTTATCACAGCCAGCCATCTTCAGCTCCTTGTCCCCTTTCTTTCTTTCTTTCTTTTTTGGGGGTAGGTGGTGGAACAGGGTCTTGCTGTGCAGTTCAGGCTGGCCTAGAGCTCACTTTGTAGCCCAGGCTGGTCTCGAACTTGCAACAGTTCTGCCTCAGCCTCCGGAGTGTTGCTGGGATTACAGGCGTGTGCCACCACGCCCGGCCTCCCGGTCCCCTTTCTTATGGAAAGGCAACTGCTCCATCCACGCTTCCTTGTATCAGTGTCTATATCCTGTCACTTTTGGGCTGAGGAAAGAGGTGTTGGTTCCGTGCTCCAGGAGGCCGTTTGGAGCAGTTGTTTATCTCTAAAAGAAAAAAAAAAAAAAACTTTCAAAGTGCCATTTTGCAGAGTCCTTTATATCTCTTTCCTGCTGAGAGATCTTTTTGAAATGTAAATGACATCACAACACCCTTCCTGCTTCCAAAGGTGCTTAGAATGAAATCCCAGATTCCTGCCCTGACTTCCAGGCTACTTCCCTTTCTGACCGCAGCCTTACAACCCAGTCTGTTTCGCCGGTCTTGGGCTGACACACCCGCATGTCCTGCTGAGGCCTTCATACCCTACACAGCTTTCCCTCTGCCTAGAAAGCCTCCTCTCTACACTCGGGATCCTTCCCTGTCGGGCCTTTTCTTCCTGCCTCACCTTCCAGCTTATCGCTGTAATTATAACATCTACACTGCACAGAATTATCGCATGTATACTTAGTTTTCTCGTGTGTCTATCTCCGAAATGTAGCCTGGGTGAGGACAGGAACTTGAGCCTTGCTGCCAGCACCCAGGACAAGGAGCTTAAGTGTAGGAAGGGAGAGAGCTCATGGTTGAACAGCATTTATATAAAATTAAACAAGTAAAGTCGGGCCAGGAGGCTGAGGCAAAAAGATTTTAAGTTTGAGCCCAGCCTAGGTGACAACGGTGAAGCCTGGTCTCAAAATAACAGGGACAAGATGCAGAACGAACTGCTGTACTGAGACCAGAACAATGCACCGAGCGGCCGAGAGGTGGCGCAAGCAGGCCGAGGACGGCTGGTTTTGCCAGGCTGCAAGAGCTTTCCCGCTTGCCCCGGAAATGCATAGAGGCTGCGCGAGCTGCGGGCGGGGTGAGTGTTTTTCCCGCCACCGGGAGCGTAAAAGGAAACCCCACGCCCCGCACTCCCGCCCGTGTTACAGTTCTAATTTCACAATGCGTCGGGGGTCCCGGCGCTTAGATGAGTCACCCCTTTGACTCGCTGGGGTTACCCACTTTAATAACACTGATGTGGAGCGGCCGCTTACCACGCCTCCTTAGCGTTGTGGGCCGGAAGTAGAGAACTGCCCGGCTGGGATTCTCTGGGCAAGCCCCTTGCCCCACTCTGGGTATCAAGGGCCCCATCTGGAAAGGGAAGTTCTGGCTTTCAGTTTTCAAAGTTGGCTGTGGCTTGTAAATTCCTACGAATGATTTCTTTAAAACTTTGCACGCTTGGGTGTGGAGTGTGGGCGTGTAGGTTTTTGCAGGCTAGCCAGCGGGGCTCTTGCGTTCGGCGCTAGGGCTTCAAGCACGCTAAGGGAGCTTATCTCCCAGCCCCGGCCAGCTGATTCTAACGCACAGCCAGGCAGGTGTGGGCGACCCCGGGCCTGTCCCTGATGGCCCTGCCAAGCTTTCATGCCCTCTGCACTTCCTTTCTAGGACATGGTTTTAAACTTTAAACACGGGAAAATGGAAACTTAATAGGAACACTGTTGTGGGACCATTTCAATGAGTAGATGTTTCGTCCAGGACAAAACCTGGGTGCCCTTCGTCCTTCCTTCTGCTTCATCGCCGACCTCACTTCTTACTGTGGAGAGGAGGGATGGAAAGATTCCTGGTGAAGCGAGCTCAAGACCATGTTGGAGAAGGGCAGCAGCAAGAGCAGAATGAAGAAGAGCCAGTTACATCCGGCAAAGACCCAGGGGGCCCAAGGAAGAGGCCCAGGAGAGAGACCCTGGAGAGGGCCACCCACGAGGCAGCCCCCAGCTGGCGGCACATCCGGGCTGAGGGCCTGGACTGCGATTACACGGTCCTGTTTGGCAAAGCTGAGGCAGATGGGATTTTCCAAGAGTTGGAGAAAGAAGTAGAATATTTTACAGGTAAGCAGAGGACTCGGTGAGTGCGCTGAACACTTGTTTAATAAAACTGCTGATCTTGTGTTTGGAGAAATTGGGACTCAGGAGCCCTTGTTGATGGGTTTAACAAATATTCTCTGAGTACCTCTGAGCTTGGCGTACAGAGTTTTAAAAACCAGGATTGATTGACCGCTGGAAGCTAACAGATGCCTACATGACAGTCCTTGCTAACAGATGGCTACTTGCTGATAAGACTCACCTGGGAAAGTTTAAAAAAATATTAAATATGCTGTTGCTGTGGGAGACCAATCGAATCAGAATAGCTGGGGGTGCCACCTGGGCATTAGCGTTTTAAAAAGCTTCCAGGGGCTGGGGATGTAGCTCAGTGGTAGAGCACTTGCGTAGCATGTACAAGGCCCTGGGTTCAGTGCCTGCGCCAAGAGGGTGGTGGGCTTTTGAGGGGATTCTAATGTGCAGCCAGGGTTGGGAATCACTGGTCCAGGGGCAGAAATGGTGGATAACCAGGTAATTCCTCTGCCTTAGTGCTGAGTGGTTCTCAGCCTCACCTGGAGAACTTGTTGCTAGGCAGAACTGATCCCATGCAGTCTCATTTCTAAGGAGTTGGCAGGTAGGTGATGCTGATGGTGCTGGTCTGAGGATCAGCCATAGGCCCCCAGGACTGACAAAGCCATCCCGCTGGTGCAAACTTACCTTCATTGTGTTCAAAGCTCAGACTTTTTATTCTGCTTCTTCTTTAGCTAAGCAATAACTAAAGAAGCAGTAGTATTTAAGAAAAGGTGACCTCAGGCCATGTTTCTCCAAGTATAAAACAAGAATTCCTTTTTTTTTTTTTTTTTTCCCAGCACTGGAGTTTGACCCTAGGAGCTCTCCACCACCGGGCTACATCCCCAGCCTTTTTATTTTTCGGAGTAGAGTCCCACTAGGTTACACCAGGCTGGCTTTGATCTTGTGATCTTCCTGCCTCAGCCTCCCAAGTCCTGGCATTACAGGCATGTATGTGCCACCAGAGCCAGCTAAGAATAATGTAATGGTTCTTATATGAATATTTTGGGCAGGCCACAATGATTTTTTTCCCCAGTACTGAGGACTGAACCCAGAGTCATTGCATTGAGCTGCGTTCCTAGCCCTCCCCGCCTTTTCTTGAGACAGGGTCTCACTAAGTCACTGAGTTGCCCAGGCTGGGTTCAGATTTGTGACCCTCCTATTTCTGCCTTCCAGAGTAACAGGATTACAGGCATGCACCACCATGCCTGGCTGCCACAGTGATTTTTTGAGAGCATCTCCAGCAGGGCGTAACACGACAAAATGAAGAACGGAGGGAAATGTTATTCCTCTTTCCTTTCCTTGACTCCAGAATTGTCGGGGAGCGTGTTGAGCGCTTGTTCCCCAGCATCTCTGGGCATCCATGGGAACGAACTGCTGTTTCATCCACACAGGGGCGCTGGCCAGGGTCCTGGTGTTCGGGAAGTGGCACAACGTGCCCAGGAAGCAGGCGACCTACGGTGATGCTGGGCTGACCTACACGTTTTCAGGCCTTACGCTGTCTCCAAAGCCCTGGATTCCAGTGCTGGAGCGTGTGCGGGATCGAGTTTCTGGAGTGACAGGACAGACTTTCAACTTTGTGCTCGTCAACAGGTGACACTTGCCCTATTTGGTGGACTACATTTTATACATCTTCTGTCTCTCCCCAGAGGGTCTGGAATTCCACCATACCCTGTGCATTTGTACAGATCTTCTGTAGCGCACAAGGGACAGAGCAGTGCCGCAGCGAGCACTCAGTCTACCTTTGTGGCACTCACCTGCCGTGGGAGGGGAGGGAGGACTAACTCGTGAACAGACAGTTCGGCTCCGTTATTTCAGATGGTGTTAACAGGGTGATGTGCCTGCAGCTGGCGGGGAGGAAGCGGCCGCAGTTTCTGGCAGGGTTGTTCCGCAGTGGCACTGTTGGCATTTGCTGTGGAGGCTGACAGATACTTTGTAGGGCATTGAACACATCCCTGACTCCACTGAATAGAGGCTAAGAGTACCCCTGCCCCATCCCAGCAGCCAAAAATATGCCCAAACACTGCCCAGTGTCTCCTGGGGCAGAATCACACTGTGCCGAGGGGAAGGCTATTTCAGAACTTTAGGTGAGGTGGTGAGAGGAGGGTGCTGGGCAGTGCTGTATGAGCTGATAACTAAATGGAAATCTGGAGTCAGAGAGAGCCTGAGAGGTCCAGAAGGGGCCTGGAGAGTCCATGGAGTGGGGATGCCTCTGGTATGGCTCTCAGTCCCTTTCTCATCACTGGGACATCAGTGGGACATCGTACCTGACACCATAGTACCTGACACCCACAGCTTAAAGGAGGAGAGGTTTATTTTGGTTCACAATTACAGCCCATAGTCTGTGGGCTCCAGGGCAGAAATGGCAGGGCAGAGGAGCTGATGGAGGATAGCTGCTTATATACTGGTGGCCAGGAAGCAGAGAGAAGAGGAGCCAGTGAGAGAGATGTATGCGCTTCCAGGTCATGTCCCACCTCATGGCAGCAAGCCAGGTATATTGCCTCTGTGATCCAAGCACCTTCCACACACATGAGGCTTTGAGGGAACATTCCAGATATAAACAGTAACATTCCTTCCCTGACCCCTCAAGTGACTCCGTGTCCATCTCTTTATGTAAAATGCAGTTAGTCCATTTGTAAGAGTCACCAAAGTGTTAACTGTTCCAGCACGGCTGAAAAATCTAAGTCTAAAGTCTCATCTGAGACTCAAAGCAAACTCTTAGCTGTGAGCCACTGTAAAAATCAGAAAGTTAAACAGTGCTGGTCTACAGAAGCACATGGTAAACATTTCCATTCCAAAAGGGACAAATAGGAGTATAGAAAAGAATAGGACCAAAGCAAGATAGAAATCCAGCAGGGAGAACATCAGCCTGTCTGGCAGCCAGGGCAGGTTGTGGCCAGATGTGAACTCCCAAAAGGCTTGGGCAGTGCCATGCCTTCTAGCATTGCCTGGCCCAGCTTTCGTGGCTTCTCTGTTTGCTCCCTACCAGCAGACACTGGATGGCCCTGGCATCTCCAACTTCCTGGGGTCTTCTCTACACTTTTTGCTTCACTCCGTTTCATTTGCTGCCCTCTCTGGGGCAAACTGCCTGGCCTCCAAGGCCTGCCTTTGAAATCTGGGTAGCAGCCTCCACAACCCCATAACTTTTGCCTATAAAACCAGCACCATGTAGATGATGCCATGGTCTGCTGCCAGCTTAAGGAACAGCCAGCCCCCTTTGGATCATGGCTGCAGAGATCTCCAAGTACTGGATGCATGAGCATTGTGAACCAAATCGCGGGGAATCAATTCCCTAGGAAGCTATTCTTGAGCAGGATACCCTGGAGCTCTCTTCTTAAAGCTGTCCTTCACATCCTGGAGTCTGATTGCTTGCTGCTTTTCTAAGATGCCCTTAAGCCATCTTTCCTGTTGTCCTGAAACAGTGGTGCCTCAGTTACAAAAACTTTTGTTTGCAATGTGGTTCACAAACAAGCATTTGGCAAAATTGTGTTTTTGTTTACAAACTCTGCATCAGGTGACATACATGACCACAGCTATCTTTCTCACACAAACACAAACATGAACATCTTTTCCAAAATCATAGAACAAATTAAGTTCATGAATTGAGGTACCACTGTATAAAGTACTTGGCTTCTTTTTAATGCTAATCTTTTCAACATCACTCTCCAAAGCACCAGCTTTGCAGGCTCCTCCTTTCTAGCCAAGGTTTATGTCATTCAGCTCTAGTTTTTGTTCCTGATTTTCAATGTAGATCTGATTAAAAGCTCCCAACAGTACCTATGCCACAACTTGAATACTGAGCTGCTTTAAAATCTCCTGCACCAGATTAATTAGTCTAGTGCCCTTAAATCTCTTACAAAGTCTTAGTACATGAGCAAAATGTAGACTGATTTTATGTCAGAGCATTACACACTCAGTCTCTAGCCCAGCTGCCAACAAAGTCCTTCCCAACTGAACACTCAAACCTAGCCTTTACCATCTGCATTTCTATCAGTATTCTGGTCTTCTGAGCTCTGACCACTCTCCCATCAAGCTCAGTTTACAGCATGCTAGAGCTTCTGTAGCTGACATCTCCAAAGCTTTCCAAACTCCTCCTGCAAACCAATTCCAAAGGATTCTGAACTACATGGTCAGGCAGTCACAGCAACAATCTCATTCCTGGTATCAAGATCCATCTTAGTCATGTGCTTGTTGCTGGGGCACAATACCTGACATGCACAACTTAAAAGAAGAGACATTTATTTTGGCTTATGGTTATAGGTTTCTGGCTCTAAGGCAGAAACGGCAGGACAGAGGGGCCTGGTGAAGGAAAACTGTTCACATCAAGGTAATCAGGAAGAAGAGAGACAAGGAAGGTGCCAGTGAGAGATACCTTTCCAGCTCATGCCCCCCAGTGACCCACCTCCACCCAGACCTAACCTCCTAACAGCAAGTCAGCTTGCCCCTATGATCCAATTACCTCCATACATGTGAAACATTGGAGGACAGTCCAGATCTAAACCATAACAGGCTGGACAGCAATGAGTGGGGGAGATGGGTAGGATATGCTCAGAGGCATGCAGGGAGGGGCTAGACTGCAAAGAAAAGGGGTTATGTTAGTGTAGGGAGGAGTTATTTTATGTGACAGATCTTTACATATGTGTACCAGGAGACATGACTTTGGCTGCTTTGAGTATGTTAAGTTTTCAAGCTGGAGGACAAATAGGACTAGGCTACCAAGGATGGATGCTTCAGGCTGGGCTCATCTGGAGACCCAGGTGAGGACCTCAAGGTCCTGCAGAAACACAGCAGGAAGGCCAGCACACACAGCACCTCTGTACACTGCAGGAAAATGAGGAGCCTGCAATACTAGTGAGTCATAGGGGGGGGTTGTTCTCAGCAGTGTTTGTTCTCACTGCAGGTATAAAGATGGCTGTGACCACATTGGGGAGCACCGAGATGACGAAAGAGAACTGGCCCCAGGAAGCCCCATTGCCTCTGTCTCCTTTGGGGCCTGCAGGGACTTCTTCTTCCGGCATAAGGAGTCCCGAGGGAAGAACCCCTGCCGGAGGGTGGAGGTAGTCAGGGTGCAGCTGGCCCATGGAAGTTTGCTGATGATGAACCCCCCTACCAACACTCACTGGTATCACAGTCTTCCTGTCCGCAAGAAGGTCCTGGCTCCAAGGGTCAACCTGACATTTCGTAAAGTTTTGCCTACTAAGAAATAAAAAGTGTTTCTAACAATGAGTATTTCTATTTTTTTCTTTTCTTTTTTTCCTCAGTACTGGGGATTGAACACAGTGGAATTCTACCACAGAACGGTATCCCCAGCCCTTTTTCATTTTTTATTTTGAGACAAGGTCTTGGTAAGTTGCCCAGGTGGGACTGTTATGGCTTGTATCCAGATGTCCCCAAAGCCTCATGCACTCAGAGATGGGGCTTTTTGGAGCTGACTGGATCTGGGGTGTGTGGTACTAAATTAGTCCAGTGACTGGTTTAGCGTAGTTCTGGGTGTGAGTAACAAACAAGCCCACTTTGGGTGTGGATGGCACCACCCAAAAGGCTTGTAGCCTGGATGGAATAAAAGGGAAAAGGAGGCTTGCTTGCTGCTGCTGGTGCTTGCTGCCTGCCACACCATGAACTGTTTCTCCTCCTCTGATGCCACCCTGCCTTGAAGCCAGCCTACTATGGACTGAAACGTCTACAACTGTGAGTTGAAATAAGCCTTTTCTCCTTTAACCTGTGGATGTTGGGTATTTTGTCCCAGCAATGAGAAAAGTAACTAAGACAGGCACCTAACCTTGTGATCCTCCTCCCTCAGCCTCCCAGAGTGCTGGGATTTCAGGTGTGTGCCACAGCACATGGCTTCAATTTCTCCCTGCCCGAGAAGGAGCTGGCGTTTCCTCCAACAACAAAACACAGAAGCAATTTAATAAAAGCGTAGAACCTGTGACCTAACAATGCACCATTCAGAAAGAGGGTATCTGTGTCAAATCAGCAAATAAGAAGAAAAATACTAGTTGATTTTTTTTCCTAGCAAAATGATTGTTTTATTGCTATAATACATAGCAGATACAAAAGTACCTTTAGCAAATACTTAAATTAGCAGTTATGGCATAAACTACTAGTAACTTAGGTTTTTCCAAAAAGATGCTACTTTGTAAATAATTTAAAAGTAGAAACCAGATTATCTGGCTACTGCTTAATGCCTAATAACTTACAAAATGAAGAAGTTAGCTTTCATTAGGTTATCGTTCACATTTACAACCTTGGCTCAAACCTCGGTCTGACCGAAGACCTGCTCACACTCGAATGCCCGAAGGCTCGGCCTTCCATACTCCACTCTTCGAGGGCAAACTTCAGAGTCAGCGCTAGCACAACCTTACTCAAAGCTACACTTTGCAATGTAGCTTCAGGTCACAGAATTATTTGTTCCCCTCGCCTCAGTCAGACAAGCACAGTCAAAGCTAAGGTCTACAGGGCCAACAGGAGATTCAAGCTGCTCCTTTTATACCGTTGTCCACGGGCGGAAGAACCTTCACAGTATATTCTACTGGCAGGGAGAGTAACTGTGTCCTCAGAATGCACATTGGGCCCGGCCACATGGTGATCACCTGGGCTTCTTGCACTTTTAGCTGATGCCAAGGCACATCTGGAAGGTTCTGCCAGCTTACCCCTGGCAGAGGAAGTTCTCAGCCTGACCTCAGGTGACCTTCTGGGTAGGTCTGATTCCAAATCTTATCTCCAAAGAGTCAGTTTGAATTTGATATCCTTTATAAAATTTTTAAATTACCAACTTAGCTAAAGCATAGATACTGTGTCATCAAAATGCCTTCTTCGGCCCTGGGCTGCATTCAAGAGACTTATCTGAAAAGGGAAGAAAATGCTCAGTATACTGTCCTTGTATCGGGCTACTGGAAACAAAGAATAAATTTAGAATATGGACCTAGAACACAATGACAACACTAGATACCAGCTATAGTTATGTAAGTTTGAAAAATGAGACTCAGCCTTCTTCTATGGAAAGAGCCGACCATCAAATCTAACCCTCCACTTTACAATGAAGAAAGGGACGTCAGAGACTGCAGCCCTGGGTCAGTGCCAGTCCTTCCTAATCCAGCTCTCAAATCAAGGCAAGGATTGTCATTTTACAAAGCCCCAAATGCCTACCTGCAGATCTTAAGTGGTCTGCACAGGCAATAAATAAAACAGGAAAACAACCGTCCTTGTGTAATAAGGAGATTCCTACAGAGCAGAGGAGACCTAAGTATGTATGCACAGATGCTGAGGTACTGCTCAAGGCTGGCTAGCCAGTTTTACAATATAATCACATCTCTCCATCCAGTATACAAAAGATAAAAGCGGCATAACCATTTCACTTAGTTGCTGACAAAGTAGTGAAAGAATTTCCCGGGGGGGGGGGGGGGGGGGGGCGGAGCAGATTTGGCAGATGAGACTTTACATTAAAAAAAAAAAATTGAAAGATTAGAAAAGGCATACAAAAATTGGAGGGAAGTGTTCTTTAGGCATCTTTTAACTGTTCTTTTGATATCCTCTGAGTAACTTGGAAGGAACAGAGCTTTGCAAAAATGTTTATATTACTCTTAGACAATGTCTGTTTCTTAGAATGGATGTGCTACAAAAGCAATTGAAAGTGAAAGGCACTTTTTCTTCTTCAATTGTTGCCTTTAATGATTTTGCTAATTCTTGTCAATAATTTTTATGGACTTGCTTATTAAAAATAAGATCTATGCTGAAAGGTCAGAGGATTCAACAAAGGTAACTCCCCTCTGAAAATACCTAACATGTTACAATATAGAAAAGGTAGCTTCCAGAATCTGACTTCTTTTAATTACCTGTATTGGGTGAGTAAAAAGACGCTCTAGACACAATGAATGCTTTCTTAGCATGATGACACCTTCTAGTGCGTACTGGTGAGCTGTTTGGGGCTGGCTCCTATGTGAAGCCTGCTCTCAGAACACACTGGAAGGGCAAAGGGCTCTAGTGGGGCTGCTTGCACACGTGCGCCTGTGCACACATGCCATGACGCCGTAACTTTGCTTTTGTCCTGGACAGTGCAGACAGCTCTATCAGATCCAGGTCTGGGACTGTTCAGTCACTCTTCACACTTGTACTCCTGACCCTGGTGCTGAACCCTGGAGAGAACACGCTCGTAGAACAGCAGGTATGCGCTGGAGGACAGGACCTCCTGCAGGCTGGCTTTTCGGACAGTGTCATCAGAAATCCACAGCCACTGGTTGCTGGTAGAGAGAGGGTTCTTAGTTGAAGGAGGGGACCGTCGGTAAGTGACAAAATGTCCAGAGTGCATGTCTCCATGGTGGACAACAACAGCCATCAGCCGAAAGAGGTATGTGGAAGAGCTGAATGATGAGAACAAATGTGAAGGGTTTATAAATAGAACAAGGCCTCGTAAAAAAAAAGAGAATTCTAGATGTTAAACATTAAGGGACCAGTACAACAGTATGTCTGTACCAACTGAATACTATACAACCACTAAAACGCAGATCTGTATTTAATGGCAAGGCAGGACGTCCACTCTCTGGGTATATGTGTATTGTGTTTATGTGGATGTTTGCATCAAGTGATTATGTGTATATCTGTAGCGTGTGTAGAGTATGTTATGTGTGTGCATATTAATTAGTTTCTAGGTGGTATCCCCAGAAATGTAAAATTTTCTTCTTTGTACTTTATACATACATATATATTAACATATGTCTATATATGTAAATTTTATGTACTTTATAATTCTTATTTTTAAAATGACTTCCATTTTTGACAACAGGAATGTGTAATAAACAGAGAAATTCCATTTTAAAATGACATTTAAAATTAATCTTTACATTTTCATTAACTTATTTCAAGGAAAAACAGATTTCAGAAACTAAGTAAGGTAGCAGTCCACAGCAAATAAAGAATGTGCCCCCTCGAAGAGCAACTCACCTGTAGTCAGGAACCGCTGGGAGAGGGAAGGGCATCGTGGGTGTCAGTGTTGGCAATAAGGATGGGGAACAGGCGCCATTCATAAAAATTTGTGTCTTGGGGGCCCCTGGCTGATTCAGAACTGCAAGAAAGAAAAGGTCAAAGTCGATGAAAATTGGCAGGACTCTAGATACACAAACATGGGTTTGATTACCTTGAAAATGAACTTCCCATAATGATACAAAGAAAAGTACATCTCATCTTGTATTATAGTGATTCAAAAACTTCCCACTTCTTTGTCCCAGCTCTTTTAATTCCAAACAGGAAAAGCGTATCTAGCACCCATCTACTGCTAGACCTGACAACTCTTGACTCTCTGAGCGCCTAATCCCCATTTGCTAAGGACACGTATCCAAGTGAAGCAGTCGTTAATTGATTGGTTTCTCAACTCTGGCACTGTTGTTTTGGGCTGGATAATTCTTTGCTGCAGAGGTATATGCTTTGTGTTCCACAGGGTTTGTAGCATCTGTAGGTTCTACCTGCTGGGTGCCAGCCTCTTCCCCTAGCGATGACAACCCAAAGTGATGACAACCAATTTCCTTTTTTTTAGTTTTTGGTTTTTCTCCAGTACCAGGAATCGAACTCATGACCTTGCGCTTGCAAGGCAGGTGCTGTGCCGCTGAGCTAAATCCCCAGCCCCGACAACCAATTTCCCGATGTTCCTTGTTGCCCTGTGTTTGGTCAGTGATCTACACATCTTCCTTTCTTTAATTCTGTCAGCTTCTAAGGAAGACCCAGGGTAAAGCATTAACAAATGAGTATGAGTATAGGTCCAACACGGTGGCATTTACATCTCTTCAGGTGGCATATCTGGGGCTTCTATGTACTACACAGTTCACTGCTACCATCTTCAACTGCAGCCACCGTTCTCTAAACATAGCAGACCTGCGACCAAGCCTGGAGAGGGGGAGGCCAGGGTGAGGAGCCCTTGACTGAAGACAAGGGCTACACACTGAGCTGGTGCTGTGCCTCAGCTGCTCCTCACGTTCATCTCCTGACCTGGGCAGAGCGAGCACACGCAGTCTACCGGAAAGGATGTTTTGCAGGCCATCCAGTGACAGTTGTCAAAATAGAGGAAAAGGAGTAAGGCTCACAAAGTCAAGAAAGTACGGGGTGCAGGGAGACAGTCTTCTTACCTCCCTTGGGAGCAGTGCACAGATGGTGAGCTCAGGTTGGGAGCCCTACAGGTCAGTCATCTGTGACTCAAAAGAACTCAACGTGCCACGTAAGATACCTTCAGAAAACTGC